CATAGAGATAGTAATTATGGCCCCATTGCTGTTAAGTGGTGATCTTATTTTATGTTAATTTTCATGAACTGGTCGATTTCCCGAGATCTTCAAGGTCCTAGTCCACTGATAATGGACTGTGTGACTGATGTGTATTCATACCCTTCCCCCATCCCAAACTTGTTCCCACACCCACCCTTCCCCACCCTCTCCTCTCAGACCCTTCTTTCCCACTTGCCCCCTCCCCTTCCCTCTTCCTAGCTCCCACCCCCTCTTCTCAATCCCCATCACCCCACTGTCCCCCCTCTCCACCCCTTGCTGGTGGACGCTGAAATGATCAGGACACAATTTGCCTTAACCACTAAATCTTTATTGAATTTTTATTGTAATAGTAATACAGTATTAGTAAATGCAGAGAAATAAAGAGAATACAGCAAATGCAGTTTGAAGGGTGGGGTTGGGAGGCAGGAAAGGATAGGGAGGGTGGGGAAGGAGGGTTATTGACAAGGAAGGAGCAAGGGTTTTTATTCATCACTTTGTTATGATTTCAATGAATATTTATCATACATCATTATCAGCTTCATTCAGCAACAACTTTTCAAATGGTACCTGTCGTCTGCTGGCTCTCTATAAAATTTTAGCTCACAATCTGATCCCTGGAATTAATTTCTAGGGCCTTTATTAATCTAATCATCTTTGAACTTTCACTAGGATTTTGTCCACGTCCAATTCACTCTTAAAAGGTTGGCCTCCCTGCAGTTCCCTCTTGAGTTTATTTGGAATCTAGGTACAGGTATAAGGGAAAGAGTGACAAGTAAGTACACGTGTCCACTTATTGAGATATCTAACTTATCATTATCTTAGCCTCTAAATCCCACCCACTTAAGATTACTTAGCCCCTCCCAGCCTAAAATACCTATGATTATATATCCTCTATTACTTAAATTGAATATAGAAAGAAAGAAAAACAATGCAATAATCAAAACAACTCAATGTGCTACAATCTGAAACAATCAAAAACTTCTAATCCCATCAGATGCGTGTTCCCTCTCCAGCTGAATATGTAGCATGGCTCCTGCAGGCTCCTCTCTGCTGCAGGTGGTCCTTCATGACTGCTCAGGTGGCTCCTGAATGGTGCTCTCTGCTGAACTTGTGTGATGTGGGATTCTGGATCAGTTCAGGAGTCCAAGAGGTACCTGCGAACTTAAGCACAGTTCTAGAGTGCACCATGTAGATGCCCCTCTCAAATTAGTACCTCAGCGAAATGCCTCCTGGCTCAAGCTGAACTGACCCTTCTTGATAACTTTTGTGACTATCAATGGGAACTCTTACATCACCTTCCTCCTTAATTAGTAAAGAATGAAAATTTGGGCCCACAATCAATTAGTTAATTTTGCCAGTTTGTATTCACCTCCCTTTCCAACTTTTTTTCCATCCTAATGAATGAATAAAGGCATTTTTGTTGGAAACTCCAAATAAAATAAAATAAAATAAAATAAAAGGAACAAGTTAACATAAACTTATCAAGAGAAACAAAAGAGATTGAGAGAAAGGAAACTTAATCAAATTTTGGTACTATAGAGTAAATTTAAGATTACTTATCCTTAACACCTAATACTTATAGATAGTATATATAGAGCATAGCACACACTGCCTAAAAGTCAATTGCAAGCTTTAGTAAACAATCCAATGTTGTGTCAGGGACGTCGTCTGTGAGCTGTGAGCTGACACTGGCATGCTCTCCCTGACTGTCGTGGCCAGCTCCTCCAGATGTTTGCTTGCAGTGGCAGCAAATGTCCGTGTGCATATACCAGGGCTGCAGATGGTGACCCATTTCTAGGCACTCTGCAGCTTCAAATGAGTTCAGATGAATGAAGGATGGACTTGAGGTTTGAGGTAAACTGAAGTGACGCTTCACAATAGTCCAGAAGCACAAATGCACCATCTTAAAAGTAATTACTGTAAAACACACAAGTGATTGACAAGCTTTCTGATTCCATTGAACAAGCAATAGCCAATTGGGTTTCTTCCTTGAATTTGCATATTCTGCTTGTGATTTTTGAAGGCCTGATTAATAGAATTGAGATTGTATACGATATTAAAATTGAAGATTTGAAGTGTTATAAATTTACAATATAACAATAAGAACTGGATTGCACTTTGTAATTCAATGGAAATTTTGAAAGCATAGCCAACACTTCAAAACACTGTAAAAGGACACTACTACATCTATTTAACATGCAAGGATTGGGGGTGGGGGTGATAATGTGAGAGATGATGTTGATGGAAAAGGAAACTTCACCATAAAGACTCCTCTTCATGACAGGCAATTTGAAATATAAACCATGTTGTGTCCTACTGCTCAAACTGCATTTTGGCAATTGGAGACTGTGCTGAAACACATGCTCCTGTAGGCCTGCCTCTTTTCATCTCCGTGCATGGCAGCAAAATGGAGTCTCAGCAATCAGGCAGGAAGGTGACACGTTCTGCAGTAGGGTAATGGCAGTAGTAAAGAATCAAACAGAAAGAGAGAGGTTAGACAAACAGTTCAAGGTAGTAGCAAGAGAGTTCCTCCTTAGAAGCCTGTATCTTCAAGACGACGCCCAGTGCTCTGATTCCTCTTCTTCAAAGACATTCTTCCATGACAGGAGTGTGGTCTGGTTGCAAAATCATTTCCTTCTCTAAACATCCTCATGGTACAGTCCAATGAGGGGATGGATGACAAAATGCCCAGATGCACATGGAAGCAGACACATGGATAGGTGATTGCAAAACTTTGCTGGTGTTTCTCCAGCCAATTAGCAACATTCGTGAAAATTCCTGCTGACGTTCCAGACAAGTTGGTAACAATGAACTCGACAGCCTCTTAAGAGTTGGGTACGAGATTAGGAGTCCTTTTGATGTGCTACTCCTTAGCCCTCATGCATGACTGAGAGGTGGTTACAACGTTCTACAAACACCTAACACACCTGGAGCCACCAGTAGCCTCTGGTTGCCAGGTTTAACACTTTAAGGAAACCATTACTGGCATGATGATGGTAAGATGTTGTGTCAAAACCAGAGTTCTTGGGTACATGTGATTCGCACCAGGATGTGAAGGCACACTCTTAACACACAAAAGTCTATCTGAGAGAGCACTTCCTTTTCAAGCTGAGGTGTTTCTGTTGCAAAGAACCAATCAATTTGCTGCTCCTTGAAAATTAACGGAACCATGAAAATGAAGTTTGAAGATGGTGAAGTTTCCAAGGGTGCAGCAAGAGGATCACGGAAGCCTTTCCATACTGCACCAATAAGTGTGGCTTCCTTTATAAGGCGCCCGACCTCCAGTGATTTAAATAGAGTACCGAGCTGCAAGAAAGTTGTGTCCTCCTCCTCTCCCCCTCTGTAAGCAGTCAGTATGTCCTGTGTTTGCATCAGCTTCTCTGTAAAGGAATTTGGCAGCCTGTAATTGAGATGGTGAGAGGTTTTAGCAGGTAAAACCCAGGCCTTGTTTTTAAGTAAACGTACTGATTGGCAGTCAAGGTGGAAAATTGACTTTTGGTGCTTTAACCCTGCGTGCCTTTGTGTCTCAGGTGGTCTGAAGATACTGGATCACACACAGTCACTGATTGAGAAGCTACACAGGAATCAGCATCGAGGGTGGAGACCCAGAAGGACATGACAGGTATTTACATGGTACTGTAGGATGGAGGTGGAGGCGGTGGAG